ATAGATGGTTCGAGCAAAAAAGACTGCAAACACAGATATTAAGAGGAACCAAAGACCGCTCGAGTGAACAAGACAAGAATCACTCTTTTGAAAACTAACTCCGAACCTGTTGTAAATAATCTCACAACCATAATATCAACTCTCCAAATAACAATACAAGATGGGCATAGACAACCACAATGAGCGCCAGATTCAGAATCAAAGAGTATAAAGGGTAGGGTCTTAACCCAGGCCGCTATATTATAACTAACTAAATGAAATTATTTACAATTAAGTATTAAATGAAATGATTATAAAAATAAAAATTGTGCCATAAACAAAAAATATTTTCGAGCTACTAATTTTATTTATTTTTTTAAAGACATTTTTAAGACAACATATTACAGTAGCAAAATAAAAAATATTTATAATTAAATATTAAATAAAATAATTATAAAAATAAATACAATCACTGCTTATATTTTTTTTTTATTTTACATGTTAATGTAATGAAATAAAAATTAAAAAATAAATTATAAAGAAAAAAAATCAAAAAATTCATATAAGATTTTTTCTTTGGGCATGGATCGCTTGTATTTGTTCATTTTTTGTAGTTTTTTTTTTTTTTTTTTTTTTTTTTGGAAAATGAAGTTATTCAGAATATTGTAAAAGTTTGTGACAAACCGTTACGATCATTACATTACCATTGCCGTTACACATGTGAATTTCCGTCACATCGCTTTAGCGGCCGTAACAGGTGGTGGTAACCATTACAAACGGCTATGGCCACTTTTTAAAACCTTGCTTGAGTCCTAAAATTTTATTTTCTATCTTAATGCACAATGTTGTGCAAATTTCAATTATGATTGCGAAATGTTGGTGACCCTTAGGAGTTGGGTATTTTCCAAAGCGAAAAGGTTGGTCGCTTACATCAATCTATCAAGTGATTTTTCTCAAATATCTTGACCGAAATAAGAGATTGCAAAAATTATGCAACAAATCTTGAACAACATAAAGCTATTCGACCTCCAATGCTATTACCAATTCATTAGAACACAATAGTTGATTCTATGAGGCAAAGACCATTTTAAGCTTTCTTTGCTTATGATTAAAGAAAGGGGTCGGACATGTAATTGTAACGACCCTGTCTTACATCGGAAGTTCGCATGGGTGATCTTGAGCATATAAAATACCACTAACATGCTACTAAATAACTTGGACTTAAGCTTTTGGGTCATGTTAGTTGACCCACAAGTTACTCGCCCCAACAAGTAGTGGAGCATTACAAACGGTATCAGAGTCGACCCATACACACAATCATGTGGGTCACTTATTCTGGGCTGGTCATGAGCTTGTAGTGATATTCTGATTGATCCACGAGTGGAGGAGTTTGTAATGACCCTGTCCCACATCAGAAGTTTGCATAGGTGATCTTGGGCATATAAAGCACTACTACTTGCTACTAAGTAATTTAGGATTAAACTTTTGAATCATGTTTGTCAACCCACAAGTTACTTGCGCCAGCAAGTAGTGGGCCATTACAAAAATAAACATTTTAGAGACAGGAACCTTATGCCATTAAATTTCCAAAAATTCTTTACTTTTTTTTCTTTTTTTTGTCAATCTATTGTAGAGTAATTACAGTATGAAAAATATTACATCATCAAATAGACTATTAGCTGACAATAAGTAGAAAGTCAACAAAACCTATATAAGCCCAACAATCCCCATAATGGGAGAGAAATAAATACTACCACAACATATAGGAAGCGGGGTCACTGCTGTGACCCCCACAGCTGTATTTCCTGTTGTGCCTAAAACGGCACAGTTTCAGCCTCCTTTTTCTTTTTCTTTTTTTCATGTTCTCTCTATGTTTAGGGTTTAGGGTTTAGGCACAGCAGGGAACACAGCAGTGGGGGTCACAGCAGTGACCCCGTGTCCCAATGGATATCAAACTCCTCTCCGTAGAAATGAACCCAAAATCTTACACCATAAAGCGTATTATACAACTACTAAGCCAAATATCCTGGTTAAATTTTCAAAAATTCATGTATGTTTAGTTGTCATGGAAAACTCTTTTCAATTTGAAGTAGCTAAATTTGTGGTAATAATAAGTTTTCTAATAAACATTTTGGAAAAAAAAGAAACACTTTATATCTCTACCCAACAGTTAACACTTCTTACTTAAATTGGAAAGTACAGTGAATGCATTCAAATTAAAACTTCCAAACATTATTGTAAATCTTATAAAAAAAAAAAAAATCAATGGCGTTACACTCACTAATTATTATGCTAATTAGTGTACTAATAAATGTTATAACAATACAATTTTAAAATTATGAACCCCACTTATTATATAAACTATAAAGACTCAAAAACTAATAAAATTATGTCATATCATTTATTAGTATACTAATTGGTTCATATAGCTTTATTCTAAAAGCATATGCAATATGAAGGAAAATAATAAAATCCTCTCCATTTCGTAGATTACAATTATTGAAGAGAATCCATTGCTGTCCCAGTTTTTCCTAGTACTACCAATTTTAAATAGGTTACTATGGGAATGTTTGATTGGATGGATTAGAGCATGAGATTGGGATTATTAATCTCTGGATCCAATTATCCTATGTTTGTTTTAACATTTTGGTTTAGGATTATTAATCCAATGGATAATTAATCCAACAAATTTGTAGGATTATTAGTAATGGGGTAGGGTTATTCTAAAAGCATATGCAATATGAAGGAAAATAATAAAATCCTCTCCATTTCGTAGATTACAATTATTGAAGAGAATCCATTGCTGTCCCAGTTTTTCCTAGTACTACCAATTTTAAATAGGTTACTATATGTATATGTTTCTACATTTGACCTATAAAATCACTGACAATTGTATTTGATCTGGAAAATATACAATTTATTGTAAATTGAAAGTTCAAAATAAAAAAATAAGAATATTGATATACTTGTTTTTCAATAATTAGACTTTTTTTGAATTTATTTAAGTTATTTTGTATAAAAAATTGTATGTGAAAATTGTACCAAATATTTTGACACAAATTATTTTTAAAAAAAAATTATAAATAACTTTCAATAAACTTCACAAAGTGGAACCGAGTAAAGAGTAATGCTAGAGATTCCAAAAGTTCTATCAAAATTTTTACCAAATAGTTCACATGGGTATGAGATCCACACCATGTGGGTTCCATGTGAGTCCCACACCCATGTGAGATATTTGGTAAAAATTTCAGTAAAACTTTTGGGATATCTAGCATTTTTGCCAAGTAAATTGCTTATGTTTTATACCAATTAATGTTCAATCCTTTACCGAATCTATCAACAAAAGAATAATATTATATGCATTAATTAATGTACTAACTAAGATACTAATAGATGATGTGGCATAATTTTAAAGATTTTAGGTATTTAAAATTTGTATAATAGGTAGGGTCAATAATAATAGCATAACACTAGTTGATACATTAGTGCATATAACACGATCGGTCAACAAAATCATAATTTTACCCACATTAATTAAATAATTAAACATTGCTTTAATTGTCCAACTTATGGTGAATTCGAGAGGTAAGGCCTTCTTTGGCAATAATTAAACAATGCTTTCACAATTTTATCTATTTATTTTTTTATTTTATTTTTTTGAGTCTTCTTCATATACCTGCATTTACTCATAAATTATATGTATCAGTTTAGTGCATAAGACGGTTAAAAAAAAATTTGATTTCATGACACTTATTTTATGGCTTACTCTAGAATTCGTCCCTTTATCGCTAACTATCTAGGATTCGGGGACGTGTTCCAGTGGGGGGTTTTTCTGAGTTTTTTTCGATAATTGAAATTGTTTATATTGTAAGATTCATCAAGTATATCATTTATACAAAAAATCAAATTAATCAAAAATCCAAAACTCCATGATTAAATTCAAATTGTTTTATAAAAATTATCAAGATAATATTAACCGTTTATTTTTTAAAAAGCAAATGTGTTCTTGTTATAAAGTTATATATTTCCAATCAATTTAAATTTTTGTGTGGATGATCTATTCAATAAATTATATAATATAAACAGTTCGGATCATTGGAAAAAGCCTCCATTGAGGCATCACAAAACGCTAGTGTGACTTGATCACAGTAGCACCCCTTGGTCCAATTAGGATTAGGGGATCCTGATGTGACTAAAATTAATATGAATTATTAAGGCCTCATTTGACATGTATCTGTTTTAGCTTAAAAATCAAAAAATAACTAAAAAATCTATAACCTATACAAAAAAGTTGAATATTCAATTTTCTCTTTACTATTTGCAAATCTTTTCGTAAAAAATCAAAAACTCATTCCAAATATACTAATTTTTTTTTACCTCATATTTTAGTTAAAAAGTCACTAAAATAACCTATTCCCAAATGAGGCGTAAATAACAGTTGAAACCCAAAACTCAATAGACTGACATCTTGTAGGGGCTAAAGTTCCCAAACCACTGCAAAAATTTCAATTTTTTGCGACAGCACAGTGCCGTCGCAAATACTCTTTATGTCGTCTCAAAAAAATTTTAGCAATGGCAAATTGGGGGTCATAGTAGAGGGCGTTACAAAAGACTTTTAGCGACGGCATGCCGTCGCTTCTTTTTAGCGACGACAATTGGTACTTTTTGCAACGACAATTTACTGTAGACTATAATATGTAAAAAAGTCAAACTTTTTGCGACGGCACCATTTTACCGTCGCTAAGGGTGTTATTTGAGATGGCAAAAAATGCTGTCACGAATGGTTCTGTTTTTTTGCGACGGCTTGCCCACTATCACCGATGGTCCTAATATTTTTTGCGACAGTATGGTGCCGTCGCCAAAAAAAAAAAAAAAAACTGCAATATAATTATTAAAATTACCTATTTTTTGCGACAGTGTGGTGTCGTCGCAAAAAAATAAATAAATAAATAAATAAATAACTAGAATAAAATTATTAAAAATATTAAAATTACCTGTACTAAATGAAAACAATTGAAAAATAAACTAATAATTGCATAATAATATAAAAATTCCTGTATAGAAAAAATAATTTCTCCATAATAAAAATATTCTTGCATTCCTAACTACGCATCAACAAAATTACCCCAGCACATAATGTTCCATAATACATATATAATGTTTAAATGCATCATGTTGTTCATAATTCAAAATACAATAAACCAAAATTACTAGTTTTGCTCATCGTTCTCTGTGGGTAACAAAAACAAAAATTAGTCGCATTCTTCACAAACATGCATTCCACAAGAAGCAAAACTCCTACTCAGGAAATATCTGAAAACAAAAAATAAATATAATTAATGACAATATAATTATGTGTTAATATGTTAATTACAAAAAAACATAAAAATGTAACTACTATACAATTACAAAGATAATTAAGTAAATAATTTTGCCTAGACCGAAATCCGGCTATAACTCCCAAGCCGGAAACCCGATTCAAGTCTCGTCTTCTCCGACAAGTCTCTCGTGCCTAGGTGGTCGTGTGTGCCAAGTTTCGTGCTACTCCAACACCGTTTGGTGATTTTGGGTCATTAACACCTCAAATTCTAAGTTTCTTAATAAACTAGTTTGTTTCTTAAGAGTGAAATCCGGCTCTAACTCTCAAACCGAGAACCTGATTTGAGTCTCGACTTCTCCCACAAGTCTCTCGTGTCTAGGCGGTCATGTGTGCTAAGTTTCGTGCTACTTCGACGCCATTTGGTGATTTTAGGGCATTAATACCTCGAATTCTAAGTTTCTTAAGAAACTAGTTTGCCTAAAGTGAAATCCGGCCCTAACTCCCAAACCGGGAACCCGATTTGAGTCCCGTCTTCTCCCACAAGTCTCTCGTGCCTAGGCGGTCGTGTGTGCCAAGTTTCATGCTACTCTGATGCTATTTGGTAATTTTGGGACATTAACACCTCAAATTCTAAGTTTCTTAAGAAACTAGTTTGTTTCTTAAGAGTGAAATCCAGCTCTAACTGCCAAACCGGGAATCCAATTCGAGTCTCATCTTCTCCCATAAGTCTCTCGTGCCTAGGCGTTCGTATGTGCCAAGTTTCGTGCTACTCCGACGCCGTTTGGTATTTTGAGACATTAACACCTCAAATTCTAAGTTTCTTAAGAAACTAGTTTGTTTCTTAAGAGCGAAATCCGACTCTAACTCCCAAACCGGGAATCTGATTCGAGTTCCATCTTCTTCCACAAGTCTCCCGTGCCTAGGCGGTCGTGCGTGCCAAGTTTCGTGCTACTCTGATTCCGTTTGATGATTTTGGAGGATTAACACATCAAATTCTATGTTTCTTAAGAAATTAGTTTGTTTCTTAAAAGTGAAATCCGACTCTAACTCCCAAATCGGGAATCCGATTCGAGTCTCGTCTTCTCCCACAAGTCTCTCGTGCTCAGGCGGTCGTGTATGCCAAGTTTCATGCTACTCCGACGCTGTTTGGTGATTTTGGGACGTTAGCACCTCGAATTCTAAGTTTCTTAAGAAATTAGTTTGCCTAGAGTGAAATTCGACCCTAACTCCCAAACCGGGAACCCGATTCGAGTCCTGTCTTTTCCCACAAGTCTCTTGTGCCTAGGCGGTCGTGTGTGCCAAGTTTCGTGCTACTCCGATATCGTTTGGTGATTTTGGGACATTAACGCCTCAAATTCTAAGTTTCTTAATAAACTAGTTTGTTTTTTAAGAATAAAATCCGGCTCTAACTCCCAAACCGTGAACCTGATTTGAGTCCCGTCTTCTCCCACAAGTATCTCGTGCCTAGGCGATCGTGTGTGCCAAGTTTCGTGCTACTCCGACGCCATTTGGTGATTTTGGGGCGTTAACACCTCAAATTCTAAGTTTCTTAAAAAACTAGTTTGCCTAAAGTGAAATCTGGTCCTAACTCCCAAACCGAGAACCCGATTCGAGTCCCGTCTTCTCCCACAAATCTCTCGTGCCTAGGCAGTCATGTGTGCTAAGTTTCGTGCTACTCTAACGTCATTTGGTAATTTTGGGGCATTAACACCTCAAATTCAAAGTTTCTTAAGAAACTAGTTTGTTTCTTAAGAGTGCAATCCAGCTCTAACTCCCAAACCGGGAATCCGATTTGAGTCTCATCTTCTTCCACAAGTCTCTCATGCCTAGGCGGTCGTGTGTGCCAAGTTTCGTGCTACTCCGATGCCATTTGATGATTTTGGGACATTAACACCTCAAATTCTAAGTTTTCTTAAGAAATTAGTTTGTTTCTTAAGAGCAAAATCCGACTCTAACTCCCAAACCGGGAATCTGATTTGAGTCTCGTCTTCTCCCACAAGTCTCCCATGTCTAAGCGGTCGTGTGTGCCAAGTTTCATGATACTCCGACGCCATTTGATGATTTTGGGGCATTAACACCTCAAATTCTATGTTTCTTAAGAAATTAGTTTGTTTCTTAAGAGTGAAATCCGACTCTAACTCCCAAACTGGGAATCCGATTCGAGTCTCGTCTTCTCTCACAAGTCTCTCGTGCCTAGGCGGTCATGTGTGCCAAGTTTCATGCTACGCCAACGCCGTTTGGTGATTTTGGGACATTAACACCTCAAATTCTAAGTTTCTTAAAAAACTAGTTTATTTCTTAAGAGTGAAACCTAGCTCTAACTCATAAACCAGGAATCCAATTCGAGTCCCGTCTTCTCCCACAAGTCTCTCGTGCCTAGGCGGGGTCGCGTGTACCAAGTTTCGTGCTACTCCGACGTTGTTTGGTGATTTTGGGGCATTAACACCTCAAATTCTAAGTTTCTTAAGAAACTAGTTTGTTTCTTAAAAGTAAAATTCAACTCTAACTCCCAAACCGGGAATCCGATTCGTGTCTCGTCTTCTCCCACAAGTCTCTCGTGCCTAGGCGATCGTGTGTGCCAAGTTTCATGTTACTATGTTAGAACATATGAAACGTGAAAACTATTTTCTTCATTATAATTTACATGAAGTATAGCAACATTAGTAACAGAGAGCAAAGGTAAACTGCATTTTGCACACAAACCAGTTATTTAGCAATAGAATTATGAAACAAATACAAAATTTAAAGATCTAATAAAACAAGCAAAAGCATATGTCACATGCCTATATTGCTAGTTTCAAACACAATAACCAATTTTGTTTAAAGTGAAAAATCGACGATGGTGTTGGGGACATCATGTTTGGTGAAATGTGGGGGACATGGAGGGAAGGGAATGGCTTGTGGAATAAACATGAAATGTTTCCTATGTATACAACAAGTATGTCTGGTGAAGGAGGGTTGATGAGGGTACAAGGTGACTGGCCATTACCTACATGTTTATTCAGTCATTTATATACATAAACTGTACAATGCTTTAATTCTGAATTTTAGCATATATGCCCATGCAATTTCTTTGTATGTGTGTACTCTATAAGGGGGTGGATTTGACTAACACCCATGTCACATACAATAATGATAAGTTTATCACATTTTTATTTTATTTTGTGCTTATTTCCATACAATACTAGTGTAATGTATAATTTTAACGTAATGCCAACAATTACTAAATTGGCACATCATATCATAGAAATAGATAATCATTGTAGCATTACTCTGTCACGTATATACTATGTGACAAAACTTTGGAAAAAACTATAATAAAAAAAGAGTACTTGGAACAAGAAAATAGATCATGTACACATTTCACATGTCCATTTTTAGTTACTAAATGTCTAATTTTTTTTGTATTTGAAGAATGTTTAATATGATGATAAGTTGTCGTGGCTTATCCAAAAAGATTTTCAATACAATTAGAAATATGTTTCAAATAGCATAGACATCTTAATGTGGTGGTTTTAAAAGAGGCGATAGAACTATCAAAGTAGGGTAGGATTAGGATTTACATTATATAGTAGGATTACGATTCTCTTATATAGTAGGATTAGGATTCTCTTTCTTCTTCTTGCCTATATATATGGGCCTTCATTGTATTGTATCACATACACATAATATTATTCAATATGCTTTTCTATTTGTCTAATTGTGTTAACATTATTGATGAAAATATTAAAGTACAAAAAGGATAATGATAAACCAACAATGAGGAGAGACGGATAGCTCAATTGATAAGAAAGACATATGGTAATTTACAAGAGACAATTACAGGCAGCAACAACTTATGATCAGAGATGATGGTTGTTTAAAGAATCCATGGCGTGGCAATATAAAGTACACAAGCCAAATGTGCACAAAAGGGTAGATAGTCAAAAATGTTACCGAGTGACAATGATGGTGATATGTAGTCATATAATATCCCCCGCTCATCATCAAACGAATTGAGAAGACTAAATTACTTGATCTGGAAATTAAAGACATGATTAACACAATGTGGAGTGCAACTTGAGTATAAAATAATAATGAGAAGTTGTTTCTGAATGTAACAGCTTCTCCATTAGAGGTGTTGTAAGATTATGATTGTTATCAACGACTCTGCTGGGAAGGCTGAGTCCAAAAGTGGACGTGATGGTGATAAAAGTTTTGGTTGTAGTTAGGAACACCCAGATTACTGTCAGTTTACGGATTGCAGACTTCGTCCCAATCTAGCAATCTAATGGATCCTTTAATGTCAAACCCCTTCGCACTCTAAAAATCCATCCACATCTACCTTCCAAAACACCATCACCCGACTTTAAAAAAAAGATGAACTTGAAATGTAGAAGAAACTTCAATGGATGAAACACCAAAAATCACCAGAGACGTGTAGTAACCGAGGGTAAAAGAAATCACCAGGAATCAAGGGTAACAGAAATCAATACGCACCTTCGGCATTACCAGAGACATATAGTAACCGAAAAATCACCAGAAAAAAGGCAAAGATAAGACGAGGCCGAGATCGCAGAGATAGCTCGATCCATGAGAAGAAGCTAAAAACCCAGATTCCTTATCAACTCTCACGCTGTTGCTGCCGTCGCTCGACGCCGTCGTCTACTAGAGACATATAGTAACCGAGAAATCACCAGAAAAAGGCAAAGATAAGCCGAGGCCGAGATCGCAGAGATAGCTCGATCCATGAGAAGAAGCTAAAAACCTAGATTCCTCATCAACTCTCACGTTGTCGCTGCCGTCGCTCGACGCCGTCGTCTACCACTGCTCACTATTGCTTGACGTCGTCGTCTTTCCTGCTCACAGTCGCGAGAGAGAGAGAGAAAAAGAGAAGGGGATTTTTGGTTCAAAAGATTAGGGATTTGAGATTTGGGATTTTTGGTTGAGGGGGGAAGAACGAGCGGGAATGAGATTTTGGGTTTTTTTTTTTTTTGGAAAAAAATTAATTGAAAAAAAAAATTGATTGGAAAAAAATTAATTACAAAAATTTGTTAGTCAAATTTTAAAATTTCTGTTTAAAAACCAACGTAAACTCATTTTTTGAGTTTACAATTTTTCCTTAAATTTATAAATTGAGACAACCATTTAGAAATCAAAAAAATTATCAAATAAGTTTTTATGATAGTTTTGTAAATTTTTGTAAATATAAACTGAAAATGAAATAGTTACCAAATGAATCCATGGTCGTTGTCGTTAACCTATATTTGCAACGGGGGAAGGTTGCCATCGCGAAAAAAATAATAATAATAAAAAAAAAAAACTCATTTTTTTGCCAAAAACCTCCGTGTCCAGTTTACTGCGCAATGAAAGCTAGGAAGAGAGAGAAACAGAAATGAGTGAGAAACAAAAGATAATCAGTGAGAGAGAGAGAGAAAAAAAGAAGACATATGAGCAAGAGAGACAGAGAGAGATAGAGAAGAGAGATGAGTGAGAGAGATAGAGAAGAGAGATGAATGAGAGAGATAGAGAATAGAGATAAGTGAAATAAAGAGAGAAGAGAGATGAGCGAGAGACACAGAGAGAGACTCATTTTATTTTTTGACTTTTTCCTCTATCAACAACAATGGACTCAGAGAAAGAAATGAGTGTGATTGAGAGAAATGAACGATTGAAAGAGAAGAGAGATAAGTGAGAGAGAGAGACACAGAGAGAGAGAAAGAGAGAATAGAGAGAAGCAAGATGAGCGAGAGATAGACAGAGAGAGAGAGCAGCAAAAAGAGATGAACAAGAGATATATATAGAGAGAGAGAAAGAAGAAAGATGAGCAAGAGAGATAGAGAGCCAGAGAGAAGAGTGATGAGAGAGAAAGAGAGAGAGAAGAAAGATGAGCAAGAGATATAGAGAGCGAAGAGAGATGAGAGAGCCAGAGAGAAGAGTAATGAGTGAGAGAGAGAGAGAAGAAAGGTGGGCAAGAGACAGAGAGAGAGAGAGAGGCCCATTTCATTTTTTGACTTTTTTCTCTTTCGACAAGTGATTAAGAGAAATGAGAGATGAGCGATTGAAAGAAGAGAGAAAAAGAAAAAAAAAAGAGATCGATAAATCGAGAGAGAGATCGGTAAATCAAGAAGAGATAAGGGAGAGAGTGAGCAATGCGAGCACATTGTGGAAGAGAGAGAGAGAGAGAGAGAGAGAAAGACACAGACATACAGACAAAGGGTAATGAGTGAGAGAGAGAGAAAGAGAAAGAGAAAAGAGATGAGTGAGATAAAGAGAGACAGCGAGACAAGAAGATGAAAAAATAGGTGAAACACTATGGGCCTGTTTGGTAATCATTTCGTTTTCAATTTTCAGTTTATATTTATAAAAATTTTAAAAACTGTCATAAAAACTTATTTGATAAATTTTTTTGTTTATAAATGGTTGTCTCGGTTTATAAATTTGAGAAAAAAACGTAAACTCAAAAAATGAGTTTGCGTTGGTTTTTAAACAAAAATTTAAAAATTTGACTAACAATTTTTTTTTAATTAATTTTATTTCAAATAAATTTTTTTTTCAAATTTTTTGTTTTCAATTACTTTTTTTCTTCAAATAATTTTTTTCAATCAATTTTTTTTCAAATTACTATTTTTCAGTTATTTTTTTTTCAAGTAATTTTCTTTCAATTAAATTTTTTTCCAATTATAATGTATACGATCCCATTGTCATAAATAATAAATATATATATATATATATAAATATTTTAGAACTGAACAAACATATTTTTTAGTTTATGTTTTTAAAATTTTTCAAACATTTTGTTCAAACTAAATGTGTTTGTAGTTTATGTTTTTCTCAAAATAAACAAAAATCAGTTTATAAAATTTTTGTAAACATAAACCAAAAACGTAAAAGTTACCAGATGGTACTTGCAAAAATTTCAATTTTTTGCGACGGTCGCTAATACTTCTCATGTCGTCTCATCAATTGAGACGATACCTATTACCGTCGCAAAAAACAGCTTTATTTGTGACAGCATAGGTTACCGTTGCAAAAAATGCGCATTATTTGCGACGGCAATTGTTACCGTCGCAAAAAGTTGCTTTTTTGTGACAGGAAGGAGTGCCGTTGCTAAAAACCCATTTATTGAAGACAGCAAGTGGTGTCGTCGCAAAAAATCACTTTTTGCAACAGTTATTGATGCCGTTGCAAATGCTTCATGTTATAAAGTCTCTTTTCCTGTAGTGAACCCACTTCCTTCTTCTTGAGTTAGGTGAGATTAGATTAATGATCTAAATTGCAATTTGTAGTCTAAAAAAATAATAATAAATTAATTAATAAAAGAAGCAGTTGGATATTTTGCCACCCTTAAACTGTATTTGAATCATAAATTTAGATAAGTATTTAAAAATGAAAATGAAAAGGCACGAAAATGGAAGAAAAAATTTAACTTATGCTATTCTCTTCTTTTTTTTTAATAAATATTTATTTAAATTTATGATCCAAATACAACCTTAGAAATAGGATGATACTTTTTTTTAAAAAAAACAACATTTACAAGAACAAATATTAATAAATAATTAGAACTATACATATTAAATATTATATGACTATATATATACATATAAAATGTGTTTAGTTGATATAATCAAACAACCATATGAAAAAATAGTTGCGAATACAAATCTTATCCCCTTTTTCGTTTTTATACCGGTATGAAAGAACCCTAGGGAGATGGGTGGGATTACAAGGTTAGGGTAGAAGGGGAAAATGTCATTTCCAAAGCAAATGAGAAAAAAACAAAAATGATTTTAAATCGGTAAATATCACTCTTTAAACTTTATTTTCAACGACGTAGATAGTTGTATGTAAGTTGTTAATTTGTTTAGAAATGATATTTTAAAAATCTCTCTCATTACTTGGGGGGGAATATATGTTTGTACTTTTTCGTATAGAAACTATATATCTTTATGTTTTTTTTGTATCAAAACTAATCACAGAATATGATGATACAGTTTGTGATGGTAGAACGGGTCAGACTGATCCACGCTCATTAAGCCTATGTTTGAATGACCAAGCCCACCTGAAGACCTGCATAAAAGTTCAACGGGGAACGGGGAGTCCCCCAACGAACCCTTCAATGAGCAAGTTAGAGAGAGAAGTGGATTATAGAGATAGATTAGAGATAGAAAAGCTTAACCTTCTACATGTCTTCGACGTCTGCTTATATCCTTTGGCAATCATTACATTGTCTCTTCCGACCTGTCACCTTGGCCGAAAGTCTATACTGTAGCTTACCTTGTTTAGGGTGAGGGCGTGTTGTCCCGACGGAGAGGGGTTATTGCAATAAATGTTGTGAGGGGGCCTCATTAATGGCGATGTGCAGTGGCAATAACTTTGCAGATCTTTGTCTGCTGATGTGGTTTGCCCTTGTCTTGCCATGTGCCTTGATGTCATTGGTTCTAATTGCTACATGGGGCTTCGGCAGTGTTGGGCTTCAGCATTTGAGATATGTGTTGGGCCTTAAATGTTGGGCTCTAATCTTTATGGGCTTACCCATGTCAGTAGTCCCCTATTCCTGAGTGCAGCTTTAGCCCAACGAAAGGGAATATTGAAGAGAATGAGGGCTGTGAAAGACCGGCAGGGTGAAGGCTGGCCGATAGGAGTGACCGAGTGGATGGACCGACCACGAGGAGGGCCGACCGCGGAGGGTCGCCGAGTGGAGGGACCGACCACGAGGAGGGCCGACCGCGGAGGGTCGCCAAGTGGAGGGACCGACCACAAGGAGGGCCAACCGCGAAGGGTGGCCGAGTGGAGGGACCGATCATGAGGAGGGTCGACCACGAAGGGTGGCCGAGTGGAGCGACCGACCATAAGGAGGGACGACCGCGGAGGGTCGCCGAGTGGAGGGACTGACCACAAGAAGGGCCGACTGTAGAGGGTCACCGAGTGGAGGGACCGACCACAAGGAGGGCCGACCTCGAAGAGTGGCCGAGTGGAGTGACCGACCACGAAAAGGGCCGACCATGAGGAGGGCCGACCACGATGGGTGGCCAAGTGGAGTGACTGACCACAAGGAGGGCCAACCACGAAGGGTAAGGTGGCGGGGTGCGGGGCTCGAGAGGCGGCGGGTCACGCGGTGACTTGAAGTGGAAAAGACAGGGTACGGGAAGGAGGCAGTGAATCGTGGCCGTACACGTGGCAAAAGCACGTGGTAGGGAAGGTTAGGCGTTGGGCCAGAAGTGAAACGATAGGTCATTGTGGGTGTTGAAGAGACAGTTTTGGTGGATGGTTGAAAATTTTTTAAACAGGCGAAAATTAATTGTGACCCTTGGAATACAGGCAAGCCTTGGGCTTTTGGTATTATACATTTTACCTACCTTTTTTTAAAAAATCAAAACATTCCAGGTGTAGACTCCTTCGTTGCAAGTGATACACCCTTGCGATATTTTTTGAATTTCCTTACGCCCGCATTTGAAGCTATTCGTAGACACACCATAGAAATGGCCCAAGAAGATGCTGCAAATGTCAGGGTTGATCCATTGGGGGATGACGATGCGGTGGAGTTGGCGAAGCAATGCAGGATGGAGAGGCGAGGGGGGAGTGGGGGGAGCCGTCGGGGCAACCTCGTTCGTCCACAATAATGGCGGTGCTAACGCCAATAAACCAGGTGGAGCTAGATCATTGGCATACAAAGGTCGATAAGTCGATCATTACCACAAAGGAGCTGGAGGGTATGCGAGAGAAGTACCAGATTCCCGTAGAGATAGAGTTAAAACTGCCAGAATCAAAGGAAAGGGCATCCGATTTTCGACCGGGGAAATTCGCCCTATATGAGGAGGCGCTAAAGGGGGGTTTGAGGTTGTCGCTACCCCGGATAGTGGTGGACGTGTTGAACCAGTTAGAAGTAGCCCCAGGCCAACTGATGCCCAATGCATGGAAAATCTTGTTGGCCTGTGCGAGCGCGTGGTCGAAGGCGAA